AAGATGCCCTGTTTCAGAATCTGTGTGGTCATTCTTGTAGAGCGGAGTCAGCAACTCTTTCGTATGACGAGCTGGGTCGTCAGTATTTCGGATGGCAGGGGCTGTCACATCTGTCACACCTGTCCAGTGCGGTGCTGTGAAGGTAGCCGTCCACGATAAGTAAATGGATGCGCATGGCTGATGTCTAATCAGACTTCATACGAACAGGTGGTGGGCCAGATTTGGGCTCTTTGCCCACACTCTGTCTTAAAGCATTTTATGTTTTCAACCGTCTTTGCAAAATCATAGTTAAAAAGTTTGAGGTGGGCGGGACCAGCAGATGGCATAATGGTTATGTTGCCGGACTCCCACGTAGTTGACCGAGGTTGGCGTCCCGGACCCAGCGGCTTAAAACTCACGCCGGGCACCTGTGTGTGTGTGTGTGCCCAAGATCCCGAGAGGAAAATGGAGAAGGCATTGCGTCATGGCCATCCCCCATGGGGGCGTTGATTTCTTGCTTTTTGTCTCTCTGTCTCTCCAGCGAGTGCATGTGCCCTGTAGCAAAAATGTCTCATGAAAAAAAAAAAAAAAAAGGTGGGATGGGCCATAATTCTTACTCCCCTGTCATGGAGTAGAAAAACTGATGATCAGTGAATGTGTTGATGGAAGTCCACTATAAGCTTTAGAAGACTGGGGACATACATGCCTAAAATTCTGAGAATGGAGAAGGGATTGCGGCATGGCCATCCCCCTAGGGGGTGATCTCTCTCTCTCTCCATCTCTCTGTCTTCCCTCTGGCAAGTGCATGCACCCTCTAGCAAATGTCTCTCTCTAAAGAACATAAAAAAGAAGAAAAAGACTAGATTTTTTATTGTTTGTTTGTTTTTCCAGTTTGATATAGAGCATGTGTGCTTGCTAGAGAGGGAAGGAGAGAGAGAAAAAGTGAGAAAGCTCTGTCCAGGTCTCGGCCGTGCTGCAGTCCCTCCTCTCCATTCTCCTCTTAGGATTCTGGGCACACACACACATGTGCCTGGCATGTTTCTTAAGTTGCCAGGTTTGGGACTCAAGTCATGCGGTCACCCACATGGGATCCGTCACCTTACCCACCACGCCGTAGACTGAGCCTAGAGTGTTGGTTTTCACAGCCTTGAAGACGTTTCTCCTTACCTGATTCAGGAGTTCCCTTCTCAGCCACGCCTCCCAGCTTGGTGTGGGCGTGTTTTCTGCACATGGGTGTTGATCGCAGCGTTGTCGTTTGCCACGTGGAAAACCTGGGGACAAAGGAAATGCTCAACAGGAGATTAGCCACTTGCTACAGTGCTAGAGAGCCTTTAAAAGAAGGTTTGTGGTTAAAATAAAAAATCCTTGAGGGTATGCATCAGGTGGAAAACACATCCCACGAGACCCCGGTTTGTTCCAATAAAAGGCAAGCGTGACTAGCAGAGCGACAGGAAATACACCCACGAGCTAACAGTGTTTCTCTCTAGAGAAGATTATCTGGGATTTTTGCTGTGTGCGTGCGTGCGTGCGTGCGTGTGTGTGTGTGTGTGTGTGTGTGTGTGTGTGAGAGAGAGAGAGCGAGAGAGAGATTTTTCTAAAATCCTCAGTTTTACAGTTGATTAAGAAAGCATTTTAGGGCAGCTCAGTGGCACAGTGGTAAGGTGCTTCCCAAGAGGCCCCAAGTCCCAGTGATGATGGTCCGACCCCTCAGCCCGGTCTGCCTGGAGCACGACTCGGACACGTGGCAGTGGCTGGGATCACGGCGTGACCAGCGCTGCGGAGGGTGCTCGCTCTCTCCCATGCACCCATAGCCCCGTGTCACGGATAAGACAATGACAAGGAAGGCATTTTACGGAGAAAGATAAGTTGGTCGAGTGTCCAGCCTCTCAGCTCAAGGCAGTGTTCCGCGCGTTATTCGAGAGCTGGCCTGACGCCTGCTCTCTCCGCAGTAGCCAGCGGGCCGGGGCTGGGCTGGGTCCTGGGAGACCCTCCGGACTGTGGCTTTCTGATCCCAGACGCTGTCTCGTGAGAGTCCCGAGGCTGCTGCCTGGAGCCTGCCAGTCGCGTGCGCTGCAGTTCTCCCAGGGAGTTGGCTGAGCGCGTCTGTGTAAGTCTTTGAATGTTCGCTGACTTCTGTGAAGTAGGAGGGTCTGCCTCCATTTTCCAGCCCCGGAAGCTGAGACGCGGGGAAACGAGGTGACTTGCTCAGACTCCTACCCCGGCCTGTGGAGCAGCTTCGCTTGGCTCCGCGCCACCTTCTTCGCTAGGGAAAACTCACTCCTTTATTAACTCACAGATGATTCTACTTTCTACAGCAAATCAGACAAATACCTGCTTCCACAACTTCCGGTAGAGTGGGTTTCTGGGCCTCTGTGATGAGCCGGCCAAGCCTAGCTCTGACCCCTGGCGTATGGGCCATGGGCATGCGAGCCTCCCCTCGGAGGAATGGCGGTCAGGTGGCTTCTACTGAGGCAAGGAGTCAAGGGAATTCTCTATGGAGCTGAGGATGCAGGAGGTGGCTTATTTCAGGAAGAGCATTCCGGAGGGCAGCCTGGAGGAGGCGGGGGGAAGAGTCCACAGGGGAGAGGTGACTGGGGCGGTCAGTTGTTTCAGCATGGCCCAGGAGACCAGGATGGGTGCCTGGTGGGACCAGCCCAGGGGCCGGCTTACGGCTGCAGAAGAGCAAACCCTCGCAGCCCAGCGGAGGTGGCTGGGCGTGGAGGAGGGACTCTGGAAGGGGTCAGCACGGGCCTGATTGATCGTCCTTCTAGGGACCACTGGGAACAAGGGCTCGGAACCAGACCCATGCTTCCACACAGGCCCAAGTCTCCTGTGGGTGTGGAGTGGCGTAAAGAGCAGCGACCTCTCTGCTCTCTTCTCTACCGGGACCCCACCACACGGGCCTGGCACCCGGGCCTCCTGCGGACAGAGGCACCTTCACTGTCCCTTCCCTGGGACTCACTGCCCCAGGCCCTGGGATGGCCACTTGCCTCCCTGCGTCTCGACTCTATTAATTTTGTCAAAAATCCAATTCACACACAACCTCGCAGGAACCCCCCGACTCTATGAAGTCAGGCGTGCTTTCATTCCAGAGGAGCTGGAAAGGGGGTTCATTGTGTCCTCAGAAACTGGAGAAGCACACGGAGAAATAAACCCTGCAGCGGTTGTCCCCGCGGGTCGTGACAGCACATCGTGGAAATGAGCTCTTTCATTTCCTCATGGTCCGTGGCTCATGTGCTGTGCAGCTGGGGTTTATTTTCAGAGCGCTCCCTGGAATCTGACAGACCTTCGCGCTGGCTGGCTTCACAGCTCAAACCATGTGCCATTTGGTAGATGATAAAGCAAGTGACAGTTCACACTGCCATGGCAGCGGAAGATGCCGTCTGTGTTGAGACGGACAGGTGTCAGACTTGGGGGGCAGACAGCGCCATCAGCAGACGCGTGGGCATCCCTCACGCCAGCCGTGCCAGAGCTCTGGCCCACTGAGACGTGGGGCTCTTAGCTGAGTTGATTGTAGTGTGCATGCCCTGCCTAAAGAGGTGCACCTTGGGGGGCCAGCAGGTGGCATGCTCGTTAAGGAACTGGACTCCTACATGGTCGACCATGGTTCGAGTCCTGCACCCAGCAGCTTAAAACTCACGCTAGGTGCATATGCACGCCCCAAATCTCCTTCTCTCTCTGGCAAATGTCAGTATAAAGGCAAATGAACTGCTCTACGGCAGGAACCTAAAAGTGCGCGACGGTCGCTGCTGATGTTCTAGTCCCGTCCGGTGCTCACAGCAGAGAGTACCCGAAGCTGGGTGGCTTGTTGACATAGAGGTTTAGAACCAACCCCAGAGCCTGACGGTTAAAGAAGCTGGATGCCCCAGGGCCAACCGTAGTTCCAGTCCTGGCTCCGGCAGCATGCAGACCACAGAGGGCACGTGTGCGTGTGCCCCAGAACCGACGAGATAGGGAAATGGAGGCACGGTGACTGTGGTGTGACCGTTCCCCATTGGGGTGTTCTTGCCCTCTCCCTCCCTCTGTGTCTCTCTGTCTCTGGTAAGTGCACAAACCCTCTAGCAATTAAAAAAAAGAAAATCGAGGTTTATTCAGCTCATAGTTTGGATGGCCAGGGGCCAGGGGCCATGCTGGATGGGTGCTCGAGTTCGGGGAGTTTGGCTGGAGTGGCGATGCTGCCCTGGAGGGGGGCGGCTCGCCGCTGGTGCTGCAGAGCTGGGGCTAACATGATGGAGGGGTTGGCATGGAGGGTGGGTGGAGGGTCATTGGGTGTGACCAGCAAAACCTTGGTGTAGATCAGGCTGTCCCCGTGGCCTAGTGGCTAAGGGAGACTGATCTGGCATAGCCGACCAGGGTTCAAATCCTGGCCCTGGGGTTTTAAAAAAACATGCTGGGTCCATGCAGGTGTCGCAAAGCCTGACGGGTGGGGAAGTGGAGGAGGAGGGATCGCAGCCGGACTGCCCTCTGAGGGGGTGCTCTCCTCCTCTCTGTCTCTCTGGGGAGCGCATGTGCCTCTGCCAATTGTAAAATAATCTCACGGGCATGTGAAGGGTGAGAAGACGGCTGAAGGCTGAGTGTGGGGAATGAAGGCGCAGACAGGAGGAAAGGTCGGAGTGCGGAGTTGCAAGCCAAGGGCAGGGGCAGTTCTTTGCAAGGATCAGCATCCTGTCCCGTAGCGGTCAGCAGGGCAGCGGGATGGAGTGAGGGGAGAGCCGGCTTCGTATTTAGCAAGGAGGACGTTGGTGACCTTGGCAGTGGCCTTTTCCATGGAGGTGGGAGGGGGGCAAAAGCCAGAGTAGAGTGACCGCAGGGCCAGTCCCACAGAGCAGGGCAGCCCATGGAAGAAGTAGGACATGTCAGACCAGAAGGACGTCCTTGCGCCCTGAGTTTCCTGCAGAGATCTCTGGGAGTCCCAGGACGGGTCCCCGTTTGGCGGGCACTGGGACGGGGCGCTCCCACACCTGCTTCTCCCTCTCCCACCTGAGGTGGCGGCTGACACCGATGTCCTTCTCTCCCGCTAGGCCGCATCTTGGACCTGAAGACGGGGACGGTGAAGAAGGAGGGCCAGCAGTCGTCCATGCGGATGTGCATGGGCTCGCGGCGCTCTTTCATCTGCAGGATGAGGTCTGTCTGGGCAAGCGGCGGGCCATCAGGGGTGGAGGGGGAGCACCTCACTGGCTCGCCGAGGTCACACAAGGTCACACAGGCCGGCCTGGTTCCCCCTTGGGCTCGGTCTTCTCGACCTCAGCCTGTGAGCGTGCGCAGATGCCCCGGTCTGCCTCGGAAGGCCCCCTCTTTCCTTCGTCCATCCCACGTCACCCGCTTCCCCACCGCTTTCTGGCCAGTCCTGGATTCACAGCCCCATGTCTGCCATGTCACTTGACTCTACCCAATTTTCAAGCCCCCTCTCAAATCCAGGCTCACCAAGGTTCCAGAGTTTTCACCAGTTTTCTGTTAAGCCCTACCGGTTTCACAGCGATGCCCGCGTTTCCGGTGACAACTCACTTTCTGTTCCTGCTTTGCTGTAGAGTGTCTGTGCTCGCCAGGGAGAGATGGGGCGGAGGTTGGGGTGGGGAGGTCGGGAGTGAGAGATCACCCCAGGAGGGATGGCCACACCGCGTTCCCTTCTCCTCCGTTACCCTCCTGGGATTTGGGGTATGCACACACATGTGCGTGGCATGATTTTTCAAGCCACCAGATCCGATTGTCACACCATGGTCAGCCCTAGAGAAGTCCAGCACCTTAACCCCTACATCGCCTGCTGGCCCTGCTTCAGTGTTTTTATTTATTTCTACCATGAACCCTAAAGAGACAGAGACAGAGACAGAGACAGAGACGGCTCCCCTCCAACAAGGTCTTCATGCCATGATGTACCCCGGCTTTAGCGAGCCCCAGATCGTGGGCGTATGTGCACCTGACATACTCGGGGAGGCCTCCGGGTGTGAACCTGGATCCTTCCGGTGCAGGTCAGCTTCACGGAGCAGTTTACCACGGTGCCACCATCAGCCCTTTTTGAAGAACACCTGGCACAAATGGGTCCTCAGTGAAAATCCACCGACCGACTGAATGAATGAGTGAATGGCATCACCTCGTGTCCCTGCTTCACAATCCATGGCCCAGACACATGCTCTGACCTCTTGTGCAGCTAAAGGCCGTCCGGCCCCCTGAGGCTACAGGGCTGGAGGTCCAGGGGTGTCTGGATTGGATTGGAGGATTTGAGACCCTAACTCTCCCTTCTCTGAGAAGTGGCTCGGCTCCCCTAATCGCTCCCAGGGTCGGTCATTTCTGTCCTTGAACAGTGACGGAGGAACCGGCTACATGCAGGGGCACTCCACTCAGGGAAGCGCAATTCACATCCAAACGAAGCCTCTAGGTTCAGAGCGTTATAACTCACTCATGGAGCCAAGACCTGTACGCCCAAAATACCGACCGACAACAGAATATAGAGACCCGTTACGAACGTACGAGACAGGGCCCGCAGGCGGCATGGATGTGAAGGCGCCAGGTCCCACGTGACCAGCTGCTCAGTGTGAGTCCCAGACGTGGTGGCCTGAAAACCACATCAGGAGGGCCAGCAGGTGTCATGGTGCTCAAGGTGCTGGACGCCCACACGGGCGCCTGCGATTCGAGTCCCGGACCTGGCGGCTTGAAAATCACGCTGGAGGCGTGATGGGGAAACATTCAGAGAAGAGGTCGAGAGGCAGGAACTGTTAGGGCGCGTTGACGTCGTAGGCCTTGGGCTTGCTCTGAGGGACTGGAAGGTCGTTGAGCTGGATCACGGGAGTGACATATCCCGAACGACGTGAAGACAAAACCACTCTGGCTCTGTGTGGAGACCGCACTTGCAGGGCAGACGGGTGGGAGCCAGGGGCTCTTGCACTAACGCAGGTGAGAAATACCGTCGTGGTGGCTGTGCAGCGTCTCAGGACCTGAGTATTCTTCAGAGCGAGCCAGCCTGCGAGGAGGCCGCCAGAGAATGGAGGAACTCAAAGGTAACGGGCAACGTGTGTGTCTGCCCCGTCGGAAACTCGGAGTCGGCGTTTGCTAAGACAGGAAGGGGGTGAGGAGCTTATGTGGGGCCAGGGGAATGTCAAGCACTTTCAGATTATGGCGCCTGTCAGATAGCTGAACGGATCCGGTGAACAGGAGGTTGGGGGTGTGATTTCAGACTCCAGGAGAGAGGCTGACCGGGACTGACGTCGGTGAGATGGTATCTCAGGCCCCAAGACCAAGATGCAGTGTCGACAGTGACCAGGTCACCGGACTGAGCCGGGGGCACCCTGCATCAGGGAGGGCAGACAGCCAGCCAAGGAGGGGGACGAGAGCCGTGGCGGGAGTTTCTAGGACTGAGTGACCGACGGCCAGACGCTGCCGGTGAGACCCA